ACATTACGGATGATGTTAACATATTCTATAGGATGAGTGCAGTTATGCATGTCGGGAGAACCGTTAGATTACACTTGATGTGTGAGTCGGCGACTAGGGTTCACATGGTTGAAGATCAAGAAGGTTTGAAGATACGCGTGGATCTGAATAATCACGCGTGGATTAGCAAAACCATTGAAATCTCACTCAAAGTCATGTATTATGCTGTGAAGGCTGGACTGGATGTGACCTTCGGGTTGGGCCAAGCGATTCCGGACTATGCAGATTTAAAATCTGATATTGTTAAATTAGATAGCATTAGCAAAAGTGATCGTAGGGCAGTTGTAAAAGCTGGGGAAAGCGAGGAGCTGACACAAGCATGGTTGAGGATTCAGAAAATTCTTGGGGATACTAACTATGCGAAAATCTTCAAGTTGTATCAGGTGAAATACGAGGGAGTAGAATCAGGTGGCCATGCATGGGTGTGCGAGGAGTGCATGAATAAAGGTATAGAACTAGGACTTTGTCGGTCTAATTGAAGAGGTTAGAATGTCATGATGCAAATGACAAGCATATGTTTAGACACATGCAATATGATCCTCTGCAAGATCTTCCTTCAGAGTTTTCACTTGTACAAGTCTTGTATAATCTATGCAATCATGTCAATCGCACATACATGTTTCTGAAGAAGTTCAGATTTTGGCTAAACTATAAAATTCCACTTTGAGGAAAAACTTTTAGGAGCCTTGTTACAAGTCTCACCATGATGAATGATGAGCTCCTTCAATCTAAGAATGGATGAGAAACTAATTGTAAGCATTAGTACTGCTAAGCACACTTCCTACAATGATGAGGCCGTGTTATCAGATCTAGAAACCTTCTGTGAAAGGTTGACACAGAGGTCCATCAGATGTACCGATGAATATTTTCAACAAATCTTGATTTTGCCACCATCAGAAGTACACAAGACATGTTATGCCGAAAGATGATAACTTCATTGCTGCCAATAAGGTACTGATGACATCACAACTTTCCATCACCCTTATCTCTGAACGGATCTGATATGCAAATTTATTGCTATGCAGGTGCGGAATTACTGTAGTTGCCATTCTAAGATAAATGTTAATACTCACTAGTGAAATCCATACTCGCTCCGAAATTCAGGGGCGAAGTGGAGCTTAAAATATCAACATATGGAGCCTTCAGGTATCATATGCTGGACGGAGTGGAAACTTAAGAAACCATGACTCTCAAAAGTGACATAAATTCTGCTGTTGTTTCGCTTCGATGAGAGAAATTCTTTCTATCTGGACGAAGAGAATAGTGTATTCGAGGAGTCTGCATCCATGACTCCTTGAACATGCAGCAAGAATCATCTACATGCCAGCATATTAGTTTAAGTAAGAATTTCCACTAAAGCAACCTCCACCGGCTCACGGCCGGGGGCCATTCATACGAACACCGGCTGGACAACCTGCTCAGTTAGGAGGTTGGAGTGGTAGCTTCTTTCTCATCGATGCACGCAACGGATCAGTCTTAGAAGGATGGTGTTGATTACAGAGTGACTGGAAAAGAATTTCTCTAGAGTCTGAGTAGTGGATGTGACTGATCTACATTTCAGTCAAAGGATTATGATGGTCGCTTTGTCGTAAGTTTTCCATAGCCCATGTCGATTCAAAGCCGATCCACACAGTGGATTCTTCTCAGGATCTTGGTTCCTACTGGCAATCCCTCTCATTCTCATCATTCACGGTGAATTTTAAATAAGCATTTTGAAGACCGCTGGCCTCCTCCTCGCTTCAAACTCAGATGTAATAATCTTCCTCAGTGGCCTGCGACACGCAGAAGAACATCGTCTGGAGATTTATCCGCTTTCACGTAAGAGCATCACTTCTGCTACTTTCTATTCAAAGCATTTTCAAACTGGCGGATGCTTTGGCTGGGTTGTGTTGATTTTACGTTTTAATGTGGAATAACTGCAGCAGGGACACGAAGTCTATTACAGCTGTCTCTCAAGATCCGCGATTAAACACATGTCATTGGGAAGTTGACGAACGATCAAAAGAAGCGGTTGCGCACCAATGCGAAATTCCGAGGTTTGGCTTCCCTCGGCTCCTCCCTGAGACTTGTGAGGGACATGCCATGAAGACAAGAGACCAAACCGTCATGGAAAGATGCAACCAAAAAACTATCAGTAAATTACTCATGGAATATCTCTGAATTCCTCGCTTAACGTCCAAGGTTTCATTGAAGATTTTCTGCATCAAGCTGTGATTAATTCCATGATAAGTGCAACCCAGCCACCCAGAAAAGTGTTCTAGAGGAGTATCCCAAACGAAACAAAGATGTATGCGGATTACTTGATTACTTGTAATGAGCCAGTTTAGCATTTTATAATAATATTTTATAATACGGTGCTTTTCTATCGACAATTGTAGTCTAAGTTAAGTCAAACTAAATGTTGGATATCTGCATGGTAGGACCACATCCAGTGTTCAAGTTGTTGACTTTCCTAACCTGGCACTCGCAACACTCGTCATGAATTCAAGCATCGCAGATCTCGTGGGTCAGATTGTTTGGCCTGTGATTGGAAAGACATTGCAGTTTTACGTTGAGGATGGTGCAGAGTTTGTGAGAAAGAGGTCAAGAAGTAAGAATCCGAATGAGTTCTTAGATATGTGACTGCAGCTAGCTAGATTTGTTGCGCCCAATATGTCGTGTCTGCTGATTTTCGTCTGAACTGGGTGCTCGGTACAATTTGTGAAACAATCAGAACAATTTATGTGCTTTTTCTTGAACTGCTGTCAGGAGTGACAGATTATGTGATTCAAAAGCAGCGTAATTGTCTGCTGTAAATTCTATGCGAATGGGAGTTAATTACAAAAGGATTGATCTAGAGTCTGCAGTAGTAGAGGTCCACAAGTTCTTACATGTGCGCACGCTGAGATCAGGTACGGGAAAGTACACAATTTGAGACATTTCGCTTGCTGAAGCTAGGGAATTCTAGGCAATTCTTTCTAATCGTCGGGCCCGGCAAGGCGGTGCCGACTTGCAGAAAGGGCAGCAGACCTGTTAGTGGTGGCAAGATTGATGATGTGGTGAGGTTTGAACTGGTGAACAGTCTGTCATCTAAGCACCACGAACTCATTATGCTTTTTCTGTATTCAGGTTCATTCATTTTAAGTGTGCAAATTTAACAAAATTATCCGATCCAACTGGACTCACAGAAAGTCAAAACAAGAAAATGTGTGAAATTATTCGAGAGACGTATTTAGTCTCCACTATAGCACTTCGAGTAAATCTCTTCTTCAGCACTGCCCACTTCAGTATGTTGCAGGAGGTCATCGACCACCACTTACTGCAGCATTGTGCTATCCTTAAACCCTTCCCGGTAGAAGATCTAGGAAGCCACTCCAGGTTAAAGGAGGTATTGTTCAGGCGAAGATTATGTTGTGAACTTCTGGCTGGGAATTGCAACTGCAGCCGAATTGGAGCAGGGAAGAAATGTGTCCTGAATCCATGTTGTCTTCAAATTTTCTAAAGGATATGGCCTGCCCAAGGGAAGAAATGTGTCCTGAGTCCATGTTGTCTTCAAATTTTCTAAAGGATATGGCCTGCCCAAGGGAAGAAATGTGTCCTGAGTCCATGTTGTCTTCAAATTTTCTAAACTAACTTTTACTAGTAGATGGCCTGCCCAAGTAAAATACGATCTGATGCCAAGCTGTCTTCCCAATGTCCATTCCGCCTTCCTTTTTCGAATCGAAATCACCATAATGAGACAAAGGCGTCGGAAATGATTTAGACGGAGGAACAAATCCATCGTTTTTGTGACTGGGTGTCCAGGGAGCGAACTGATACCGAACATGGTCGGGAAAATAAGGCTCATGAACATTTCAAAACTGTGACGATGGTCCGCAGACGTATGGAAAATACGATTCATGTACCATTCTAAACCGTGGCAATCTTCTTCATAGTGTTTATGAAAACAGGTCCTCCGACTCGTGCAGATTGCGCCCGGCCAACTAGAGTTGTATATGAGTTAGCACCACTTTGAAAACAACTGTATAAAGTGAATTCAGCTGCTGGACTATGACTCGTTCCTGGAGTTTTTTCCATTGCCGGGCATCTCCGAGCACCATGTGACGCAAGGTGGTAGAGTTATCTGTACACTGAATAGAGTCACAAGGCCTGCGAAATTCGTTAAGAAGGGGGAAGCCGAATATTGTGAGCATTGGTCGTGACATTCGAAAAGTACTCATTCGACTCCCGGACGCAGCGAATCTCTCGAGCCACAGCCAATCGAAGCACGTCGTAGAATCGCCTCAGGAAGCCAGGCCAGTAGGGTTGGAGGCACAACATCAAAGGGCATGCACCAGCGTGAGTGCATGCTTCGTTTGCATTCTTCCATACTTATATCTAGAATATTTCAACAATTTTATTTCTAAGAATGTTTTATTTTCGTAGAAGTACATCTCTGAATACGCTAAATGTATGTATTGTAATACGGGTATGGCCTGCCTCAAAATATTTTCCTATTACTCCAATCCTATAGGCCAGGCACGAATACTCGGCGACGACTGCGTTCGAGAATTCTCTTGTTTGGTCGCTGGTGTGTGGATAAAAGGATCCCTCTCGTCATCCTCCCGAAACTCCGAGCCCGCATTCCCCACCGTCTCCGACTAGAGTTGGCACCCTGGGGACGAGGGCGACGTGGAGGTTCGCTGGGGACCTTCGAACAGCTGTATCCTTCGCGGAGGAGGTCGCTGATACTCGCTCCAGTTAAAATTGAAAGCAAAGCAAAATATTTCGAGTCATGCCCATGTTCAGTTTCAAGGTCAAAAGGCATGGTCCATGCACTTATTACACTATGTACATTTAGCATATTCAGAAATATACTTCTCAATAATCAGAAATATATTTATAAATAAATAAAACATTCTTAGAAGTAATATTCTTTAAAAAAATAGATATAAATGTTAATTTGTTTGATATTTAATTTTTCCATGCAGGCATGCCTGTATGGAAAAATGCAAACGAGACTCGCCCGGGGCATGCCCTTTGAGGTCGTGCCTCCAGCCCTTGTGACACCTGGGACGAGGTAAAAATGCCCACCGTCGCTTGTCGACAGTGGACTGCGCCTTCGTGTTTTACCCTGATGCTCGCTCGTGTCCTGCCGTCTTCGTGGAGGGCGCGAGATCGGCAACGGGTCGCTTTTCGGACACCACGCGTGCACTCGCTACCAGCGATCAATGGGTCCGTCTGCTGCCGATGCCACACGATGTGCCCTGTCTTGTTCCTCTGCCACAGCTCGGCCATATCCTTCCCAATTTTGGAGCAACGTATGAAAGTGAGGCTTAGGCTGGGTATCCCATAGCTCCCCCAAAGTTCTGCTTCACGGCGCCAAGTGACAGAGAGACTTCCAATTGTTTGCCTTCTAAAACTATCTCGTTTTGTCCCAAGTTGGGACTAAACGAAATTCTGTGAGTTGGGACTCCCAACTCACAGAATTGGATATGTTGAATCACCTCGAAACTGTACTTTACCCGACCGTGAATGGTGACTAGCCTTGGAAGACACCATTTCCGCACAGCTTGAGTAACTAGTTCGTCTTAATGGTCTTGTTTGCAGTCCATCAAATTGGTTAGTTTATTTCGTAAATCTCAAGAGTAGCCCTATGTGGGCTACGTGGACCGCGACGACATAGGCAATCTGTGTAGTACTGAGGACAGATCGTACTGATGTGACTGAGAGCGTTGCTTCGTCGCGTTGTGGATCTGAGGAGTATCTGTATGTCAGACATCTGTAAAATTGTTTTCGTCTACCTCGACAACCTGTTACCTGTCATATCTCGGCAAGCCTCAGGTCTAAGATATATATCCAAGATCCTGAGACGATAATAGACGACTCCCATGTAGATGCCAGACAAGAACTAGCCGCTCTCTACTGCCTGGAAGTGCACTGAGCTTATCTCGTCTCATGTAAAAGTTGTACAGGACAACAAAGTATTCAACAGAGAACTCAGAGGGTGGCAATTTTCTCCTACATGCGGTCTTTCGGGCCTAAGCTGCGAACTTGAAGAATACATGAAGGCGAACCTCCCGGAACCTTCCTCAGGAACCCAGCTACTCGACTCACAGGTGAATTAATGTGGAGACGAAACCGAATTATTCTAATCCTGAACTAGGATTGCACACTAAAAGTACTGATATGAATCCGATCAGCAACCAGCTCTTCGTATTGTTCACACAGTGTTTCTTCAATTGGACAGAAGTTAGGGATAAATATATCATCGTACTCCAAACGCTGAGTGATATCTCGTGGTCATTTGAAAAGCTCGTCCGGCCCAGTAACTTTATTTTCCCCTTCTGTCTGCGTCTGACTGCCATGTGAAATTGATGCTGCCTCGTCTGCTGTTATCTGCTTCAGTTTCTCCAGAGCTGCTCGTCCAGCACAATGCAACATTCCCACTGTAAGGTACTTGTGTGAAGCTAGAGAAGTACCGAAAACGAAACAAAGCAAAGACAGCATAGGTTCGAAAGTTCTGAAAATATCACATCCCATTGCATTGGTCCGAAGCAGCTTTACGATTAAGTACAATATCAGACACAGGTGGTTATCTAGACAGAGCTGCCTTCAGCCCAGAAAGAAAACCACACCCTGTGTGAGACGCGTACCTTCAGTGTAAGACTCATAAAGCTCTTCGGTGACAGATGACGGCAGTGAATAGTCCTTGCACTTGCTATTGTCCACTTTCTTCAACATCTGTTTGAAGTGTCGTACCTGCGCAAACATCCCCAGGTTACAGATCAACGCACATAGCGGGTTAGATGACTGCAGGCCGTTATGCACAACGAAAAAACAAACACAACAAGACGATGGTCTGCGCTGAATAAGCCAGAGCAACATGGGAGGAAGCGGATACAGCGCTATTGAACTTGTTACATGGAATGTAGATCAAACTACTTTGTGGTTTATGCATGTTCAGAAAGCGAACCTCCTCCTTCCGAAGAAGAGTATAAGAGCTCCCAGGCTGTCCGGCTCGAGGAGTGCGCCCAACACGATGGACGTAGGTCTTTGCGTACATAGGCATATCATAATTGACAACGTCTGCAACACCTTCCACATCCACACCCCTTGTCATCGCATCTGAGGCAATGAGCACTTGTGCCTTGCCATTCCGGAATTTTGCCAACGCTTTACTGTAAAGCATGATATAGAGGCAAGTCATTAGGATTATTGAAGCCAGCTACGAATGTCGGATGACAAACGAACGGAACCGACTTGGATATTCATCCCAAGATCAATAAATCAGAAGAAAGAGGAAATAACCTGCGACTTAGAGGTCTGTATGTTAAAATATATACTTATTAGTTATTTGGTCTACAAACCCCATCAAAAGCACACACGTCTTGGACAAACCTGCGGGGTTGTTGATGCTGCAAGCTTGAGTACTCAACCACCTTGACAATCCTTAGTAGCATTTTAGCAGAGTATATAGTCGATGAGTAGCCACTACAGAAGCAGTGAAAACAATGGTTGTTTGGCTGCAAAGCTGTTGTAAGAGTGCTACCAAATATAAGGGCTTCTCTCCCGGTTTGCAGACCTGCAAAGATGTTCAGGACAACAATTTCTGTTACGGATCATGCGATGCAGGTTTGAACAAACACAGGCTCCAAGGCTACGTGAACTAAATTGAGTCAGCAACAAGTTATGGTGGCAACGTGTGTGAACAGAGATACGAACCATCCTGTAAGACTTAAGTTGTTCTGGTAGTTGATACCGGTTGCCAGCAGCACCAGGCGCCACATATATGGGGCAGAGAAGACCAAGTTGTGCAATTTTTGCTGGATCTCTCGTCAAGGTAGCCGATAACACCATCTTCATCAATCGTGGGAGTGCAGTGCCTCTATTTCCTCTTTCACCACGGAAAAAACTCACGAGAAATTATAGGTGCTGAAGAGTGAACCCTTTCGTATTTCGAATATGGTCCATCAAGCGCCCTGGAGTTGCAACAAGTATGTCATCCTGGTTTTCGGCAAGGTCGGGAGTTGCAGCCTCAAATTTTCCAAAACTGTGGACCATCGACTTACGAATCTGAACCAATTCAGCCGCTTCAGCTACAATTGACGTTTGTCCCACAGATAGTCCCACTGAGAGACCAACTGCTGGTGCGATGGTGTCAAAGACTGCTTTAACCTGAAGAAACGCGATTACAAAGGTTTAAGGCCTTAAGAGAAGCTTGAGCGGATATATAGGAACTGGAAAGCCAGCCAAATATGGGTACTAGAGGTTACATAACAATAAAAGCCATCGATTAAAGTAGCGCTAACTCCCTGGTTTTCACGATCTTGAAATGTCCTGTACAGAAAATGGGCAGAATCTTTGAAGCACGTGAACAAGGAATTCCAAACTTTGATACATCAGCATGGATTTCCTTTCTATCTCATAGTTGTACAATCAAATAGTAAACATAGACCCGAAATAGGAGAGATTCTCAACATAAAGACCATCCAAACTACGTTTCAAAAGAACCTCACCTGCGCAGCTAGATCCCTGGAGCACTACGAGAACTCGAAGAAGACGAATCACCCGAGACGATAACTTTTGGACGATGGGTAATGCGTAAGATAGTGTTTTGCCACTGCCTGTTGGCGAGCTGACACAGACGTCTCGCTCGCTTAAACCAGGGCCCACAGTCTCGTGCCACACGGCCATCTGTACTGGAAACAACGACTGTATTCCTGCCTTCGAAAGCATCTTGAAGTCTGCAATGTAACTCGAAACGCACCAAGAATCATCGGCTGGACATCGAGACAAACTTCAAGTGCTGGGCAGATAGATGATGATTACAAACGGACGGACGGCAAGGCTACCTGGTGTCCAAGCCAGGCACTTGTCTCAGGGAGGTGGCCTTGTAGGTATCAATATCAAGCGGATCACGCATCCATGGCAACACCGGCCCGTGGTCTTGCGACTCTGCTGGAACCAAAATAACATCACGACCCATGATTCTATCCACATCCCTCTCAATTGTGGAAATTCCGAGAAGTATCGTCCGCTCCGAGTGCGTTCAACTCGTCAGTGTTCTCTGTAATTACATGCTCCTCCTCGTCATCCGGAACCCCTAGGGACTTACTGTTAGGCTCCTCTTCATTGATCTGTTTCCAAGGGCCACCATCTGCAATCACATCCACCTTTTCAGACAAATTGTGAAATTATGCATCTCTTTCTCGATCACCGGTTGAGGATATGAATGAATGAAGATAATACTGAGACTGTGCAAAAATGACTTACTTCTCCAGATACGCCTCTTGCGTTAACTAGTTCATCACTTGGTTCCAGATTGCCCCCTCTTCGTATCTTCAACGTCTTTTCTTTCTTTCGTTTCTTCTCCAAATTGGACACTTGAAATTCAACCAGCTCCGGGACACTTCTGTCGATGTCGGCTGCAGAAGTCTCTTCCGCTCGCTCTATATTATCTTCACTTGTTAAAGTATCGTTCACCTTCCTTTCCTGTTCTTCCGTTCCAGGAGAAGCAGGAGCTTCCAGAGGAAATACATGTTCTTCAGTCGTATCCGAGACTTTCAGCTTCTTGTGCTTTTTGATCTTTACAGCAGAATCAGGAGCTTCGTGGTCCATCAAGGTTGCCAATTCTGCCTTGTGTTCCTGGTGTTGCTTTCGCTTTTTTCGCCTAGTATGAGGTTCAATTCGCTCACTGCATTAGATTCTTCCTCAACCACAACCTCTGAGGCTCCCTCCTTGCTTTCATCTCTACTCAGTGCAGGATCAGAATCCTTGTTCGAGACGTTCTCCCTGTTACCTGGAGAAGAACCTTCCGCTTTCTCTCTAAGCGGAAGCAGAGCAGCCCGCTCCCGAGCTCTGGCATTCAAACGATCTAATAGTAATGGAGAACCACGCTTCCGACTTTCTCCTCCCAGCCAGCGCTCCACCTGAAACATCGTTGCCCCCTAAACAGCAGGCAAGAATTTAATCTTCAGAGCAAAATTGCTCGCGCACATCTAGACGAACCATGTGACAAGAAAACTGAACCCTTCTCACGAATCTCTATCACACAGACGTCCCGTACTCTTCTGCGCCAATCTCCGCAAAATGTCCGCACGTGGAGCACATGAATTATCTGATGTCTACTTCACTGACAATTTCGAGACGTGATCCGAGCGTAATCCGAGCGAAATCGGAAAAAAAGTAGCAACGACATGTTTTCAGATTTCAGAGAGGCCTTGACTGCATCCCTGACACAGGTTCGGGGTTTAGGGTTTAGTTTGCAATGTTGGCAGAAAACGCTACACAAAGGTTAGACATTAACCCCAGCGTGGTAAGTTAACCAAGGTAGCCTAATTAGTGTATGCGTAAATTCCATTCTTCAGATTAAGAGTATTTGAAAAGCGGCGATGATTGAGGGTTAGGGTATCAGACTATATGATCACAAGAATTCGAAACGCAAAATTAGTTTGCAGTAGGTCTTGGAGAATGAACGCAGCTGTATGTCGTAACTTGAAAAAAATCTGATATTTCATGGATCAAAGATGAATTATTATATATTTGATTGGTGATCATTATTGAACTCAAATTAGTTCACATCTGAGTTAATTATCATTATTCGTCGCTGCAGCTCTCCACAATAATCGCTTAATTCCTCGTTTTTTGTGCGCGCTAATACGTGTTAGAGTCAGTTAAAAATTCAAGCCGGCACTATTCGATGTATCCACACTAATTTCTCGCTTGGTCCCTAAAGTTCTCTCTTCCCAATCAATCTGGCAGTCTATAATTGCAAAAAAGAGTATAGTCAAGATGGTTATGCGGGCGATAAGGTTTGTGTCCAGATAAACTACAGAAACTATGAAGTGTTTCGTACCAAAATTGATATGTAGAAGTAGTCTAATTGTAGTTGCAGTTGAAAGTGTGAAAATATACGTCGAAAGGAAGCAAAGGCGCAACTCGAGCAGAGTCGACAACTTAGAAGAACCTTTGCGCGGTCTCTTTCGATCATCGTGGAGTCCAGGGCCGTTTGACTACGCTGCTCGGGAGGTCGAGAAGCGGACGAAAGCTCCGCCGCTACGCCTCTAACCGCGGCTAAATCTGGAGGCGGACACGGGAGCGCCCGGATAGACGACGAGGCCGACGGGCTCTGACAGGACATCGGAGCACGAAAGTGGGAGCTCTTGGCGGGCGGTGGATCTCGGGGGTTCCGGTTATCGGAGGAAAGCCTGGAGGAGTACGATACGGGCGACCGCACCGGCGAGCCGAGTGCAGTTCGGAAGTGATGGCCGATGTTCGTGGAAGCTTCGAATTTAGCAGGAGGAGCGCGGCAGGCGGTTTGGAAAATGATCATTGTAAGAAGAACCTTTCTGCGCGGTCTCTTTCGATCATCGTGGAGTCCAGGGCCCCGGCTCGTCGTAGAACCTACTGTTGGGATGTGACGCGGAGCGAGCGAGAGGCGGAGGTGGAAGGTGGGAATCATTCCCACGTTTTTGTCGATGTGGGAATTTCCGCATTTGCGCATCTCCGCAATTCCGCAGTTGCGAGTTTACCTGCGAGGGTGCATGGTTCCGGGCACGCAGAGGGGAAGGGGTCTTGGCAGTTCGATCCATGAGCGATGGGACTTCGCATCCAAATCACCTCCTCCTGCTGCTGGTCCGCTGCAGGAGCAGGGAAGGGCCGTCCCGGCTCCTTCTCCGTCTAAACGCCACGTAATTCAGGGGACAGGCCTAATAATTTCGGAAAACTGATTTGTGCCTGTCCTTCTCGTCCACCGCAAGCGTAGTCATGCCTCGCCCTCGCCTGTCCAGTCCGGTGCCTCCGTTCTATATCCATTTTACTGTCAATTATGCGATGGATCCGATCCGTTTGGAGGTTATTTGTCGCGGCGTGCACCTTCCGGAATTACGCGTGTAGCATAGGCCAACCGCTGTCAAATAAGGCTGAAGATTTTAGTCTGTTTGCAAGAACTGGCAGGCATTTGATTCTCGATCCTCGGATCGATCGAACGACCTAGAAACCCCACTGTCTTTTTGCAACCCCATTGTCTTTTGGTCGTTACCCGTTCATCGCCTTAACTTACTTTTGCAGATAATCTTCGTGGGAGAATGTTGTATGGTCCTGCTGAAAGATTTTTCCGAGTCTACCTAACAACTGCATGAACGAGATCTAGATTACCGCTACTGGATACACAAATCTGGATGGAATGATCAACAGTATGTGCGCCTCTGTAGAAATTCAGATCTCGGGAGCCCATTATCATCTTGTGCCATGATCAAAGACTCGGAGTGATGCTTGAGTAGATTCCTTGGTCCACCACCAGATCTACAGCATCAACAAGCTCATGGCCAAGGCAAAGCCTCCTTTCATATGAAAAGTGAGGGCTTCTCAAACGACATGAAACTCTCATGGCTAACGTTATTGGTCCTCTAATTTCAGACGATTATTTGAGTGAATCGTTGGATGTCGCGCAAATCTAGGCAGAGAAACTTTTTCTCTTCTTCCAGAGGCAGGTGGATCCGAAAAGATACATCGTCCTTACGTGGAACATGATTTTCTTTCTTTATGCGAGCACCACATGAAGAAAGGAAAGCACGAACCGCTCGATTGGTGCGGGCTAATGCGAATAAGTCAATTCGAGCTCGTATTTCTACGAGCTTGAATTGTTTTATTCGTCGAGCTTCCGGAGTCCAACTCGCTTGCGTAAATTCATCACGATGAAGTTTCCTACTTTCTGAGCTTTGTTTGACCAGGTTTTGGGTTAACGGCCATTCACCATAATTTTTATGCTTTTTCCAGTGCCTTGCGAAAGGAATATTATGCTTGGCGTCGAAGATTTGCAAGGTACGCGTCTGGTTTGAAAGGCTAGCTGACAACACCACTCTGATACAACTTTTAGGTTATGACATTCGAGTTCCAAAAGTCAGACGTTTGATTGGGCATCTACTGAGTTTACACTGAACGTTTGATTTTATTGATCTGTATGCATTCACGGTTATATGAAGCTCAGATCACAAGCAGTTGCTGTAAAGACAACCAAAATTCACTTTGGCTTTTCTCATCCGAATAAGGCTGGATATTTTTAAGACATCAAATTATTCTTTTCCGGAGGTTAGTAAAGAGGTTAAGCTGCACTGACTGCTTCTGGGTCAACCTACAACAAGTCCAGATCCAATGCAAAGTTGCAAACTGTTTTCGCTCTCTCTCCGTCCGACTCTGCTCTCATGCACAAGGAGGAGAGAGAAGCGGCGAGAACGGCAAGATCGGCAAGATCTTTTTGGGAAACGCACTCCTAGAGCCTATTGATCTTGTATGTTGCAGTCTAGGGGCCAAGCAGCTTTTTGGGTGATAACTTTACACGGCTGACTGTCATTGACACTGGAACAGATCTTCAGCCATCTCTTGCTTTCACGAGTGGTGAATTCATTTAAATTTACTGTTTCACCTCCGTTCATTCCGATTTCTGATGTTTCTGATATTTCGTTCTTGCATGTAAAATATTCGAGCTACTCACTACCACACTTGACAGTATAATGGATCCACTTACACTTGGTCACCACTGAGGCTGGTGCTGGTAAGAAAAAGATGTTGCTATTTCAGAGATCACATTACCTCTGGAATATGTTCACAAACTTCCCAATCGAAAGCGTTTGAATAGGTCCACTAGACATATGAAGAAAAGAGTGTGGACCATCTCACATGATCAAAGTTCGGTCCACTTTGTACCTTTACATAGATCCCACCCTTTAATTGACTGACTGTTGGATGCAATGTGCCACCCATCTCGATTCCACGCACCATGCATTACAGACTCAAGCTTTTTTCGTTATAAAGTTCAACTTTCATACTTCCTAACAAATCAAGATTTTTAACAAACCTTTTGTTCGGTTTATGATCTGTATCAAATGCCTTATGTACTTTTGCAACGGGGTTTGAATCTAAGATGCTTCCCTATACTCTTGAAAGAATATTATTAAAGATAGCCTCACTTCTTGCCTTGCTTGATGGTTGAAGTCAAAATAGATGCGATTACAATGGGTGACTATGTGAAGAAATGGTATCATACCTCAGGAGTGATGTACTTGTGTTGAAATGCAGGAGCAAAAGAGAGAAAAATTGGATAATATATAGGTGAACATTCTATAACAAGTATATGTAGACGAATCTAAAGGTTGTGTATACTCTAAGAACCTAGGTTGTCTTTTACTATCATCATACGGGACACAAAAAGGATGATTTTGTGGAAATGAACTCCACGTGAATGTAACTGAAAGATCGTACTTCTTAAAATAAAAAATAATGTTTTATTTAGTGGTATGGAAATTTCAAAGATCCAAAAGTCGACACACATCCGGATGATCCAGTTTTATACATGTATGAAAGAGTATGAATGTTCACTCGAGAAAATGGAGAAGTAACTGAAAACTTGAAGATTTGTTGTTATTCTTGTTATTCATGATTGAACGGAGTAGAATTTCTTTGTTTGCTAGTATTGCTACAATTGTCCCAGATTATTAGGAACTTCGTATCGATGACTTCTGTCAAATCGCATGAATAATTCATATAAATTTCTTCGACTCTTGAGCAGTCAAAGTCAATGGCAGTAAAATATTGATTCACATACCTTCAATTATAGCAAATATATTTATGTAGGCGAGGGTAGCTGGTTACTCATTTGATTCCGCATCCTGCCGGACGTCTTCTCAACATTGGGCATCTGAAACTCTTGGAAACTGTGTCAAGGAGTGTAGATTATTAATGTAAGGAGAATTTCTTCGTTTCTTGCTGCAGGTAACTCCGTCTTTCACCTTCCATTCTGTTTCTGTTTAGGATTTTGAGTCCTTTGAAGATTGTAAGGGCTCTCTGGATGACGTCGGGATCATGCGAAGGGGGATTCGAAAGATAGAGAAAAAATAGGAGATTTCGTGAGCTGGTTTCGTCCTAGACTTGTCCTGTGTGAGAAGAGACATAAAATCTCGAAATAAGTTTCCGTTGATATCCAGTCTCCACCAGAAGAATGAAGAGGTCCTTTTCAGTGCTTCCGTGCTTCAGTTTGCTGTAAACATGCATTGACCGAAAAAGTTTGGGAATTCGCACTAGGTGCATGTGCCAGGCAATTGCCATGCAGTCTGCGAGATGTTTCACTACAAAGATGGC